AATTTAAAGTTTATCAAAAAAATTACGATCACAATTCGACAAAACGAATATCACTATTACCTTTTTTCTATTGCAAATAGCTCTAAAAAAATTAACTACCCATTTTGTGTAATTAAAGACAATTTTTTATTTTATTTTGCTACTTTGTTCAAATTAAAAGAGGAGAGAAAAAAACGTAATCCTCAGAGATATTACATGAGCAGGAGGAGCATTCACGCAGTGTGAATTCCAAATCCATTAGTCTGATTGGTTAAACATGTCTGTCTTGCTTTTGACATCAGTGAGGAAGAATAAAGTTTGGATAAAACGAAAACGCGAGGGGGAAAAAAGTGGGGGAAGAGGGAAACTCAATAAGTTATTCTTAATTTTAGTTGCTAATTGGCTTAAAAAAGTCGCCAATTTTACGCAACTCATTGCAAATTAGTTGTTTTTACTCACATTTCTACTGAAATAGTCGCCCTAGTTGCTATTGCTTGAAAATAGTCGCTTTAGTAGCCTTTTTAGTCGCCAATGGCAGCCCTGACATTTTTAAAATTGTTTTCAAGGCAATTTTTCAAATGGGACTTTTCATTAGTGAGTTCATCCGTGTTTCAGTTTAAATTTTGTCAATTGCTACCTTGCATTCAATTGAGAGTTATTTAGTGAACATTTCCTCCAAATTCCTTGTTTTTACATTCCTTTTATATTAAATTGGACACATAAAACAAGTTGCAGTTTTGGAGCATAGTACATTTACTCAAATGAGATATAACATGTGGATTTATACATGTGGAAATACTCCATTGAACAAAAACTTGCAAATGATACTGAACAAAATTACTAAAAATATATATTTTTATTCATGTAGTCATGAATTAACAATTGATTACAAATTGATTATTAACAGAACAAATGACATTAAGTTAAATACAAATGATCTTTCATAGAAATTCTAGAAAGTATTGTTTGAAACAAACATTTTTTGTAAAACAATATACAATCAATACTGTAATAAATTAGTTCCAGTGTTGAAAAAAGTTTAACTCAGGATGTTTCAAGTCTATGAGTTGTCAAATAAACAAGTACAGAGAAATAGCCTATGTTTTGATGGCTTAAAAACATTATGCATGCATTAACTGCTTTATTTGCATTTTAATTACTAAATATTAGAAGTAATGCTCATCAATATAGCAGTTTTGAGCCAATAGACTTATTTAACACTAGCTGTTATAAATATTGTTTAGATCATTTCATGATGATTTTCGGATATTTACAGATCACACCAATATGTTTTGTTAAATATTAGTATATTTACCAAGTTTTACACATAAGTTTAAAATTTAACTTTTTTTCAGTCCTTTTTTAAAAATTAATAAAGCATATAATATATTTTAATAAAAATGTTCAAAATAATGATAATGCCAAAATTTTTTAAAAATAAAATTTGTTTTTTAATTTAAAAGATGCACACATTTTGCCGCTTTTTTAAAATTGGCTGGTATGCATAGGATTCCCACATTTTTTTCTTCATAAGCTAAACCCTGATTAAGTATAATTAAATGGTTCATTAAATTCTAATTTGTTTTTTACAAGCATGTGTTTAATGCATTTCAGCTTCTTTTTCCTACATATTATAAAAATGTTCTTTTTTTAAAAAAGGTGTTACTGAATGCAAATTTATTAATCAGATTTATCGATGTGCTAAATGTTAGTACACATTATTTAAAACTGTAGGGGAAAGTATTGTACAGTATAACTATTCACGTCAACCAGTCTATGAATTTTTCATTCAGTGTATAACAGTTTTGGAAAACTGAAATAGGCACAAACCTTCAAAAACATGTTTTTGAAATTATAAATTTAACAATAAAATATATTACAATTTAAATAAATTAAGAAAATATCTTCTATATATACCCATTCAGTAATTTTACTTAACATTATAAAACTCTACCAATAGTTTCAAAATATCATTGCTAGTTGAACTCTCAATTTCATTAATTTTTTGCTAAGAGTTAATCTCAAGTTCACATATTCTGATGAAAATTAAAATTAGTTATGATATTTTTAGCAAAATTGTTCCATTAATTTTTAATGCGACTGAACATTATTTTTAAAAAATGTGATTACCTGATTATTGAATTGTTCATTAGATAAACATCTTAAATAAACTGTGTAATGAGATACACAGATGGTAACAATTTGCGGATAGTTCCACAGTTAAACATACCAAATTTTTGCAAGTTTAGAACCAAGTTTATGATAGAGATCCAGAAAAAAAGCAGAATTCTACAGAAAAATAAGTACTAGCATTGGCTGTGTTAACTAAGTTATTAAAATCTTTTTTATTTTCTAATTGCTGTGTGATTTTCTTCAATCAATTTCAATGGAACGTAAAACCTTCAGTACTTGTAAACTGGACTAAGGTAGGTAAGTACCAAAAAGTCATTTACATAGTTCCCATTCTACTCAAGAAGCCAACAAAATAGTTAAATAAAAACCTTAACTAGTTGACTGGATAACAAGACTTAATTTTTAATTAATAGATTTAACTTTTTTAAAGTGGCTACATTTTAAGTAAGCGTGTTATTTTTTAAGGAAAGATAAATAATATCCAAAAAGATTGTTCATAAATAAATATTTTTGACATGTTCTTTCTTTTTTAAGACAAATAATTATTCTGATTACAGTTTGAATATTTGGATAAAAGTAAAAGATCGATATAAAAAATTAGATATTTTATTTGTTAAGGAAAGATAAATAATATCCAAAAGGGTTGTTAATAAATAAATATTTTTGATGTGTCCTTTCCTTACGTCAAATAATTATTCTGATTGCAGTTTGAATATTTGGATAAAATTAACACAGATCTTACACCAAAAATCAAGTTTGAATTTGTTAGAAACACACACAAGAACTGATTTGATTTAAAAATTCTAAACAATCAAGCGTCTATGTTCTGCTAAATATGAAACACTTACTCTAAAAAGTGATGCATTAAATGTGAGAAAAAATCATGCACAGTCAATTAAAAATAGAAACCATTAAGCATGCAATGACATTGTACATTAATTTACAAAATAGTTTTTTAAAAAATCGTGACTTGAGTATTAATGGATGAAACAAAATAAATACTAAGCTATAAATGAGTTTGGATTAAGTACAAAAAAAAAATTATATAAAGAGAAGGGAAAAATCAATAGAATGCACAGAACCTATGATTATTTGAAGAAAGCAAACCCCCTTTGGGGCAGAATAATACATGGCACCAAGTGATAATTTCAAATTTGTTCCGAAGTTTATCTTCTGAAAATTAGATGTAGAATGAGCTGAAACAAGCAGTTCATAAACACACTGGAGAAGAGAGAGCCAAATGATGTGACATCATACTTTTTGATTAAAATGAAAACATAACAGGGTTCCTACTCGTTAAACAAAGCAAAAATTAAGGACTTATTTTGAAAAAAATTAAGGACCTTAAAAATAGTATAATTGTTTATCATTGAATATATCACCAGTGATAGTGCCAATTATTTACCTTTCTTAAAAAAAATCAGTAAATAATATTTTTTTAAATATAATGTAAGTACTGATATAATCGTATTAATTAACAGGGTTAGTCAAAGTAGGACCAGACAATTTTTAGGTTAGAATTTAAGAAAAAATATATATTCAGATTGTTAAATGTTAACATTGATGAAACTTCCATTTTTAATGATTTCATTAAAATTGATCAGTAAAATAAAGTGCAGAAATTAAGATTTGCAAATTTTTTCATACATTACAAAAAAAAAAGAAAAAAAAGAGTAGTAAACAAAAGAAATTTGAGAAAAACGTTGAAAAAATTATAAAAACAAGTTTTCATATTTCGTTTCTAGACATGCATAACATATTCAAGCCAATCATGCTAAATATTCAGTTATGTTAAAAATTTTGTCTCTCTAAAATGCTGTTCCATGGTCTTATTTTAGGTGATAAAAGAATGACTTTTTTAAAAAATACTTTTAAAAGATCGAAAAAAATAAATAAATGTTTCTATCAAGTATAGTTGATACTGAAAAATTAAGGACTTGTAAAAACCTTGTATCAAAATTAAGTACTACTTTTAAGGGCTCTTATTTTCAAAAATAAAAATTAAGCAGTTTTTAAGGACTGTGGGAAGCCTGTATAACCATTATTGTGGTTATGCTCACAAGTACCATTAAAATGGAGTAAAAGTTTTAAAATAAATTTAAAATATGATTTTTGTTACGTAGCAGGATATGTGACAAGGGGCAGGGGAGAAGCAAAAGTGACACTTTGTGTAAAGGGGAGAGTGAAAAATATTGAAAAAAAAAGTGTGGCATCACTTATGGATATCCCCAAAAAGAAAATATACAAACAAAATAGAGTTTTGAAATAATTCTCTCAAATACATTAAACAAACAACACCTCTATAGCTTCAAATGAAATTCTGCATAATACAAAGTTCAAAACCGAATAAGTTGATGCTGGTAAAAAAAAAAGAAGCTTTGTTTTTCTTTAAAAATTTTAAAACAAGGTATTATAACAATTAAAGTAGTATACAAAATAGGGATTGTAATTCTGGAATAATGTCTTTTTTTTAGTAAAAAAATCTATTTGATATAAAACAGAATTTTTTTTTCAAGATACCTCACGAGCTTCAGTATTTAATTAGTTAAATAATTTGAAAATATTATATTTAGCACTTATATTCTTGAATGGTCTTCAATTTCTTCCTTTATATTGATTTCTTTTAATCTTCTCTTGAATGAGATAAATGCTCTATAAATTTAATTTAAAAATGCGAATAACGGTTAGTAAATTTTACAGTTTTAAAAAATTATTAAAAAAATTATTTTAATTTAAATATTTAAATTTTTGTTGTTCACAGTTTTAAAATGAAATTGAAAAAAAAAATAGTGTTTGCTATTTTAGTTCCTAACGAAAGTTAAATTTAAATTCTACAATCATACTAAAAATTTTAAAATAGAATATTCATTCTTATTCACCAGCGTTACTCTCATTTTGAAAAAAAAAATGCTTTATTGAGATTCACAAAACATAAGAATTGGATAATAGAAGGCTGGGAGCATAAAAATAAAAAAACATTCTTAAAAATGAAAACTCACAAATAAATAAAATCCCTGCACTGTACAATCAAATTCAAAATACTTGTCTTCAGAGTCCTTGCAACTTTCGTAAATTGCCTTCTTCATAGAGTTTTTCAAAATTGGATTCAAACATTTTTCTTGCAACAGATCTCTTCACTTTCAGTGTGGGTGTTAACAATCCATTTTCTAGAGAAAATGGTTCAGGACTCAAATACACATTCCCTACCTGAAACAAGAAAAAAAACAAACATAGATACAGTAAAATAAGTTTGCTTTTTTTAAAGAGGGATAAAAATGATACAAAACAATAAGATTAAATTTATAATAATTAAAATTTACTTCACTTCATTATAGTATCAGCTATGAATACACGATATGCACGGCAAATTTTATGAACTTATACAGGGTGCATAGCCAAATCTTTTAACAAAGAGCAAGCACTGTTTAAGTACTTTTTAAGCACTCAAAAAATATTTTTAAGCACTATATACATTAACAAAATAATGTTCTAAGACTTTACATGATCATGATAAAATAATCAGTTTATAACAAACAACTCTTTTCTTGATTATATTAGCCATTACAAAAAGATTGAGAGTTTTTTTTTTATTCGACATCAGAGAGTGGGAAATAAAGCCTCAAATTGAGAATATCTTGAAAAATGCAGCAGAGTTGTACGTGAGAGTGCAAGAATCTCACCAATCAGAAGAAGCACATTTGGATTCTCAAGTGTTTAATCAAACATGTAAAATGATTGGCACTTTCATACGCTATGGACCGACGGGGCGCCAAAATAGATTGTGGTTGAATGAATTGGGAAAATGTTGAACAGAACAATGTGAAAAGCACGCTTTGCATAAATGTGGCAAAAATTGACATGGTTAAGAAAAGAAATTTCATTTTCGAAATGGGAAAATTAAACACTTTTTAAAAAGACACCTTTAAGCACTTTTTAAAAACGTTACACACCATGTAATAGTTCTAAAGTAAATTTGTAATTCCATACAGCAAAGCTTTTGTTACAAATTTGTCATCATAGAAGACTACAGTTTGTCTACGCTAAGAACTCTCCCCGCCACAACTGAGTCTGGTTGTTGCTATGGAAACAAGAATAGCGCATTTCAGTAAGGGTAACTTCTCTTCATTCTAGGGCTAACACAAGAGGCCGACAAAAAATATTTCCTTTCTCTCACCAACCAGAGCCAAAACCTGTACTAAACAATAACCCCACTTCCCTACTTGAAATAGTTATACCCTGCTATCAAAGTCAGCGCTACGGCTCCAAACGAATGGCTAGGGGAGTTCTTACTTTAGACAAACTATAGAACTGATTTTTTTATGTGTCACATATAAAAAAAAACATATGGAACATAAGAAAAAACATATGTTTGGTCTAATAGCAGAGAAAATACAAGCAAGATACTCAATATGAATTTAGAAGCCTTAACCTGGATTTGAATTTGGGTTGCCTAAAGCCGAAAGTGAGCTAACATTCTGCTTTAATATATATAATTTGCTGATGTATTTTTGAGGCTTTAAAACAAGTTAACAATATATATA